AAGTGTTTATAATGACTAAAGACCTTAGCGATGTACTTGAGATGGATCAACGCCTCTTGTCAGTGTTGAGTCTAAGGCGCGCATCAAAGTGAAGTAATAGAACCAAGCAATGGTAAGTAGATCGGAAGTGTTGATAAACACCAATGACAGTTTTATTTTCAACTTGTATGGGTGGAAGCAGAAGATCCTAAAACACTCCTACAGCAGAATAGACTGTAAGGCAGAGACCAAACTACCTTTAAAAAGCATACTTTGTCGATGAAGAAGGTGGATAAAAAAATGAACTTCTATACTAGGTGAATTAGGTTAGATTCAATTGGATTTAGGTTAGAAGAATTTCAGATTAAAAAAAATGATTTTACATATGGATGAAAAAATTAATAGATGGATGAATATTTTAAATATAGATGAATACTGAGTTTAAATAAACTTTAAGTTGGATGATAAGTTATTTATAGATGAAAAGTTATTTATAGATGATAACTTTTACTTGAATTATTTTCTATTAATAGATAAATTTTAATTAAATAATATAAAAAATAAACTAAAATAAAATAAACAAACAAAAAATTAAGTTAAAAATCAAGAGAGGAGATTTTTATGTATAAATTTTGTAAAAAAATTATTATTACAAGTGTGAGTTAATGGTAGAAATTGGCTTAATTATTTGGCTATTAAAGAAGATTAAAGAGTGATTTAATAGGAATTTAAATAAGAGCTATAATTTGTGAAACTTGCATAGTAGAGAAATAGAAAATTAGAATGTTAGTAGTAAAAATAGAATCTTAGTAGGTCTTGGAAGCAATTATCTTTGTTGGTTTAGTATTTTTATTCATTGTTGAATATTAAGGAGTATTTATTAAAATCAATATTTACATTGGTCTTGTATCTATATGCACTACTTATAAAAACTATAAATATTAGTAGTTAGAAGAAGCATGAAAAAGAACCTCATGTCATTTTACTTATTGATATACAAAATAGGATTTGTGGTGAATTTAAATTGATTTTTATTCTTATCAAAAATAAAAAGGTAAAAAAATATAGCCTTAAATAGATATTAGCATTATAAAAATATTATAAGATTTTTCAAAATTTATTTAGAATTTATTTAGAATTTATTAAGAATTTTTAGAGTAATTTTCAAGATCTTAGTAAACATGAGTTTTACCACTTTGGGAACCTTTATGAAGAAATGGAGCAAGATTTGAAGGCCAAGAAAAATTCCTAGACTATTTGGGTCTTTTTGAATACCATAATGAGGTGAAAAATACAAAAATATTGATCCTTCTAGTAGAAAATAGGAGGACCAGCAGCTAATATAATCCTTATAGGAAGGGGGGTGCACAAGTTCCATTTGGGTTGTAGCACCTTGAAGGTAGTTAGGAAGATAAGACTAAAGCCTTGTAGCCCCTCTTAGAGACCCATATATACTACATGTGAGCTTTGGTGAAGCTTGAACCCTTGATCTATAAGCAAGTTAGCTTTGAGGTAAAATATTTTCACTTCACTTTTCAATTATTTACTTCATATCTTTAAAACTTCATAACTTACTCATAGTATTTCGGATTTATATGTTTCTTCCATCATTAAAAATATAATAAAATTACTTATCTAAAAATATACTTTAATATTTTCACTTTTACTTTTTATTACATAAAAATACAGTGAATAGAATGTGACTTAGTTTTGGATGTTGTAATTATTTCATGTCAATTATTTCAATTGCTTTGTGGTTGTTCTTCTTTTGTTCTTGTTATTTGTTTACTTCACTTCATACCACCAATTACAAGTAATTCTTAGTTGAGGCCATCTTGTAACTTAGGTTCAAGAGTGAAAATTTGTACTCATAGAGATTTAAGGAGGTTAAGATTCAATTGAATAAAATTTAAATATAAGCTATAATTTCTAAGTTTTCTATAATTAATTCACTTGTTGTGAATTAGGATAAACTTCCAACTAGTGGAGATTTATTTTAATTCATGGATATGAATTTTTTTATAATTTTTATATTTTTAAGTGATTTTTTTAAAATATTTATTTAAATATATTAATATTTATAGACATAAATATTTCTTATCTTGTACAAATAATTTATTCCTTGTCTTATAATCTAAAGACATTATTGTTTTTAGAATCAAAAGATATTTTTTTATTAATATTTAAATCAACTATATATATATATATATATATATATATATATATATGTCTTTTTTATTTTAAAAAAAAATTAAGATCCAAATAGAAAAAAAGATGAATTATATTCATTTTATTTATTCAAAAAGATAATATTTTTTGTTAAATTTCTTTTAATTATGATTAAGTTTTTTTAAAAAAATATTTATAAAACCCTATACTTCTCTAGAAGGATATGTCTTCCTATTTATACTATAATAGATATTAGCTTATTGATTCAAAAACTTTAAGTAAATAAAAAATGTAAAAAATATTTTAAAATAACAAAATCTTCACATAAAATATCTTCTAATAATTTCATATTTTTTAATATTTAATTTTTTTAAAATAGTGTTTTTATTAATATTATTTGATTCAATTATTAAAAAGTAAAAAATATTAGAAATCATAAAAATAAATAAGTTTCATGATAAATTTTTAAAATTATTATTTTAATTAATTAAAATATATCTATTATTTTTATATTATAAAATATTATATTATTAATTTTAATTTTTAAACTACAATTATTTGGTTTTTATTTTTAAGTTGTAATTTTAAATTTTTAGTTTCTAACACATAAAGTTTATCTAATTTTAAAGTCTATTTTACTAAATTCAATTTAAAAAAGATAACTTATATTGAATTTTTTAATCTAAAACTATTTAATATCTTAGTTTTAAATGTTGACTTGATATTCATTAATTTTTAGATATTTTGAAATATTTTTATATTTTTTATATTTTTTTCTTATCTTTAGACATGGCCAATGCCACCACTTTAATCTTGCCAAAGATTGGGCAAAATCCATCGGGAAGTGAGGTGGGTTGAAGAAGCAAAGATTGAAGGCTTAAACAAAGAAGTAAGGAGTATTGGAATCCTTATTAGATAGATGCAATTGTGGTCTATTTAGATTTAAGAAGTAAAAGTACATGTGCAACAAGTTGTGATTAATTAATCAAAGATAATAAAGATAGTAGCACCAACAAGATAAGTTGATAGTACCAACAAGGTAATTTGATATTAAAGTTACTTAAAGAGAAGAAATTTGTACAAGACAATAGTTATAGTGATAGACATAAGGTCTTTGGAATAGAAATAGAGACATAGAGAAGAAGAAAAAGACAAAGAATGCAATAGTAGAGGGTCTCAAGATGAACAATGGAGTGGAAGCAAGTTGTTCTAGATTAGTTATAATCTAAAACAATGTAGTGATAGTAACTAAGTTCTATCTAAGCAAAAATCAAAGTTGGCAAGGATTGAGGCAATGTAGTACTATGAGTGTAGCATGAAGAGAGAAATGAAAAAATTTAGAAGGTAGGCAACAATGTGCAATTAAAGATTTGTATAATATGCAAGAAGAGTGAATGAACACAATGAAGAAATTAGAGTTGCAATAATTTATGAAAGAAAACAAGAATGGTATAATTTAAAAGTCATTTGATATTTTAGGCTTGAAGTTTAATCCAAAAAAAGGAAATGTGGCAAATTGTTTTATAAAATCTCTTCCTAGTTCTAGTTTTAAAAATAAAGAGAATCATTGGGACTTTGATAATAAATTTAAAAATTTAGCATATGTTTAAAGATAAGTGACATAATATTAAATACAAGATTTTTCAACTAAAATAGCTTAAATAGACAATCAACCATAGTAGCCATGTTTTAGTGGTTGTTGGTAGTTGAGATCCATGGTTAGACCTAAATCAAATTGTAGACCTAAATAAATAAGATTCATGAGTCTGTATTTTTTTTTACTCTTATATTTAATCTAATTGTTTTTAATGCAAAGTTATATTTATAGTGCTACAACTATAGTACTACTAAAATGGATTTGATTTAAACACCTATAAGGTGTTGTAGGAACTACAATAACAACTTTGAAGTACAGAACACCAACAAACAACATTATAAAGTTTTTGTTAATTGATAAAAAAAACTATTAATTATTAAAACTTATAAATTATTAATTGTGCACCATAGAACAAAGTCAATTTCAAAAGTATGATTAATTATTGAAGATTGTTAGTTATTGGAGGATTAATTATTGAAAGAAACAATATATGCATATATATATATATATATATATATATATATATACAGGTTTATCTTCTTAAAATACATTTAATTGAAAAATTAATAATAAAAAAATGACTTTAATATTTTTTTTTCTAAATAGCTTTTAATTTATTTTTAAAATATATTAATAGGATTAATTTTTTTTAAATTACTTAGTTATTTTCAAAAAATTAATTGTTTGATTATTTTAAAAATATAAGATAAAATAAAATAATATAAAACTTGGTAGATTTTTAATTATAAAATAAAATATTAAAAAAGCCATCTAAATTAATAAAAGAAATAATCCAAAAAAATTAAATAAATTATTATGATTAATATACAATACAAATTATGGATCTAATCATATAGACTTAGTTGAAATATACTAAAAACTAACTTAATAAAGATATTCTCTCAAATTAAAGATATTTGTCTTATCAAAGTACACATTGATTCTGGAAGCTAGAACAACTACTTAGTATTATCTCTAGCTTATGGTTATCACAAGTTGTCACAAGCAATAATTTGTCAGAAAATTACATAAAGAAACATACTTTGTCTTCATATGTACATATTTACATAAATTTATAATTTTATTTTGAAGTTTGAAGATATATTTTAATAACACATATAATTCTTTTTAGCATGTACTTTTTATTTCCAAAAAAAATATTATGAATTAATTAAATAAAAATATTTGAATTAATAACTTCAATGTCTTAAAAAAATTCAATTTATACAATTCATTCAATTAAAGAGTAGTTTGATACTTTCAAACAATGCAAGAATAACCTATCCAGTTACAAACTCAAATGTGTCAAAGAAATAATCTGATAAGTGAAAGGAATTATCCTCGCCGAAGCATCAAAACTCAGAATCTCATAAACAAGGGGCTCTAGAGGGAAAATAATGACTGGACATCGCTCGGCACTATTGTTACTGGACACAAAGCGTTGAAACTTATCGTTACGGTAACGTGCCAGACGCGTCGATGGAGACGGTGGGCACTAGTTATGACCAGCCGCCAGCAGGCGACGCTAATTCTCTATATAAATATATAAAAGAGAGAGAGAGAGAGAGAGATAGATAGCGAGAGAGAGCGAGAGCACTGTAGAGGAAGCACAGTGACAACAAGACTCGAAAACTGTGGAGCGATTCTCTAGCAGCTATTCAAGTGTTGCGGACAAGTCTCTGATCTCCATGTAACAAGGGTGGCAGGGACCCCATGTTGAGGGTCAGAATCTGGAGCCCTAGGGTATCTCATTCCTGAGCACGGGAACCATGAAGATGGGGCTGGGCGTCACAGCTGTGGTGCTACCACCACCGGAACTACAGAAGAAAGATCTCTTCCATCCCGCTCGAGTTATCGCGTTTTCCTGACGACAGTAGAGAGTCTGAGCCGAAAATGAAGTAATCAGACAGACTGTTGGGGATTTTTTTACAGACGATACTACCCCTTCGTCGCGGTCGATCTTCTTCGCTTGATCGTTCAGAAGCAGATGTGGGACTTGTATTCTTTTTGTTTAATGTCCGATGAATGAGAGACGATGGTTCACTTGTATGGCTGCCACAGCTGCGTCTCCTTCTTCACCTTTCTCAATCTCTTCAGTACATGCTCCAGTTTTGCGTTTCCCACTACCATCACCCTGTTGTTATATTGGTCGCACATCACGTGGTCTATATCTGCAGAAGATAGGAATAGATAACTTTGGTTAGGTCAGAGGGATGTGGTTCACGGACCCATGTTGTTGTAAAACGATGATGCATCGTATTCATCGATCGGCAGGTTAGGAACTCTTACCATCCACGTTCCTAAGAGCGTGTCGCACTTTTCTTTCGCAATTGTCACAGCACAGACGAACCCGGAAATCCATAGACTGGGAGCGTCCAAATTGCTGTAGCAAACAACAAAATCACGGTGTAAGCATCCATTGTCGGATTGGCAAACTGGTTGCATGGGTCTTTCTCTGCAACGCCATAAGTACAGAATCCAGCGGAGAAAATGGGACATACCTTCTGCTGATTCGACTGTCCGTTCTTCTTCCCAGAATCATGGCCTCCGTCGTGGTGATTACCGCCTTTACCACCCCCTTGATTCTTGTGCCCATGGTTTTCATCGTCAGAACCACGGCCGTCGTCATTCTTGCTCTTCTTCAAGATGCCTTGCACCTGTCCTACTCCACCACCCTTCTTGCCATGAGAGTTGGAATCTTCCAAGTGGTATTGCTTCTGAAAACCTCCCCCGTGGAACTGATCACCAAAATTGACAGTGTAGGGTCTTAACAACTCCCCCTTGTGGCCGCCTTTGTGGTGACCGTGCCCTCCTTTGCTGCTGCTCTTCTTCCGAATTCCATAGTCCTCGTCACTGTCAGACCTATCATCTTTCAGCCCTAGTTTCCTCAGCACGACATCCTTCAGGGATGGAGACTTGTGGCGGCGATGATGCCCATGACCTCGGTTACCATGGAACCCCTGGTTGTCCGACCAGGTTACGGTTTTCGCATTGTGGTTGTGGTTATCCTTGTTCTTCTTGCCAGATTGACCGTCAGAATCCTCGTCGTCGCTTCCGTGATGCTGATTCTTCTTGTGGTGCATCGAGTTGTTGTCATGGTTGCCGTTTTTCCCTCCACCATTGGAGTTCTTCTGCCCTTTGTTTCCGTGCATTTCGTTTCCCCTCCCATTCTGTTGACGGTTATCGTACCCTTGGTGGTAATTAGTGTACGTGTCATCTCGCATGTCTGGTCTCCTGTATTCTCGAAATTGATCTGCGCTGTGAATGTACTCCCCAGGTCTCCGATGCTCTACGGACCTGCTACGAGGGCGCGGATCCTCGTAGTAACCGTAAGGCCTCTGCTGCTGCATAAACCAGGGATCCCTCCCATAAAATACCTGCATAGGGAAACACGATGGTTTTCTTAGGGGTGCCGTCAACTCAGGCGAATTCAATTGGTGTGCGTTAACCACTCAAATGGATCTAGAACTTGTGTCGTTTGAAACAACACTGCTAGTGAACACATAATATGTCGTAGAACACAGAAGAAGGCCCTGCAATTCCAACCAGCGCAAAATGACAATTTCTGCCGCTCAACGGTTTACAGAAGTGCCTACAAACTCAAGCATATGTACAACCATCACAATTGGGGGTGTCTGTAACACCATCAAAGGATTATCACGTACAACAAATCACGTAATTAGTACCGACACGAGTCTACCCCAGCGAGACAGTGTTGTTTTACTTCATGTCCCGAAGAGAAAGTGCGTGTACCAGTGTCCAGCACCCACTTGTAACTAAGATTGACTTCCTCGAACGTGCGCTGATGCACAGGTTGTAAGATCTCAAAACACGGTACTGGCGGGGAACGACTACGGAATGCCAACTGCATGCAACGCACAGTCAACGTCTAACTAGAACTTGCCTTCTACACCTTCAAACTCAAAGAGATTGGGTCAAGCGCCTCTCCGAAAGACTACGGTCGAGAAGACAATTCCTGCAAAACACTGAGTAGGTGAACTGGTTCCACACCTCATCCAAAGGCACCAAGTTATAGTTGTTCATCCCGTAGAAAGGACGAGGGTCGTAGAAGTAATTCCCCGCCATAATTTCCACTGGTACCACACACAAAAACCGTTCGATATCTCGAAAAACCCTTTGATCAGTACAAACTGTAGCGGAAACCTCTCTAAACCACCACGGTAACCTTCCAGCAATCAACACCGGGCCACTGCATACACACACTTGTGTGCCTGCAAGTCAGACTACACCTGGTTCATTCGCAACAGCACCCAACTCACACCCAGCCTGCTCGGGACCTCTACAACCGCCAAATCGCACACAGGTTCACCAGTTCCCGACTAGTAGCGATCAGAAACCTACACCAATGCCGCCTGCTTTGGAACAACTATCCACCCGAGTTCAAACTCCGCGCTAAGAGACGCCGCGCTCCGGGGCACCATAGCACGCAAGGCATCCACAGCAGACGAGACAAATGAGAGACGCATTGCAAGGGGCCGATCAGGTGGAAAGAGGGAGGGCCAGACGATGAGGGACTACTGTGAGAGGGGCTCTGGTGGCCAGGCGGAGATGTATCCCCCAGTGCTGCAGGAGCGGCTCGCCTAAGCTAACCGGGTCCCACGGCCAGCGATGGCCATGTTCCCAAAATATTTTGGGGCATCCCACTCCATTTGTCAGCTACGTGCCAGACTCAACCACAATATTGGTAACAATAGGATATGCCTCTGCCAATACAGGGAAGAGTGAGGCATCAGTGAGGTTGCAGTAATTGTCTAATATTGCTCCTCCCCACTCCACCCAACTCACCCATTGCCACCCCATCCCATCCTTCCATCTTTCAAATTAATTAAGAGCCTCATTTCTCAAAAACCCATCCTTCTGCAGCGGCGTCGCTCCGACGAGAATCGCACTAATTGTTATCCCCCCCTCCCCCTCTCCCCCATCCAGATTCTAGATTCCCGATCCAGGATTTCGCGTAGGCGAGAGGTGCTCGTCCCTCAGCATCGTATGATTTTCCGGTGCCCTGTATCTTCGGCCTGATTTGAGAGCTTGCTGAAATATAAGTATCTGTGTTTTTTCACCCTAGACTCCAGGTGGGGTTTTTCGAGGCGGAGGGAGGGAGGGGACCTGTGTCCTTGGGAGTAGCTCCGGCAACAGTGTCGCCAGCTTTTGCAACTGTGGGCGCATCAAGTTTGAGAGAGAGTGGACACAGTGGAGCGGCCTTGGCTTTTGCCGATGCCAGGACTACACTCATTCTCATTCACACACACAAACACAGACAGACACAGACATAGGCACCGAGCTTGCTCAGTCTTCTCCATCCGACACAGTAACGATGAGGGGTGGTGCTTCATCTGTTGGCACCATGAAGGATTCTTTTGCAAGGCATCTGTAACAACTAAATGGGGATTTTGTTTTAATTTCTATGTTTTTTGTGTTCATTGGTGTGTGTGTGTTTGTGTTTTTTTTACTTTCATTTTATTTTTTTATTACTTTGTTTGTTTGACTTTCGGTGGATTCCATCAAAGAGGTTAGGAAACCGAGTTAGCGGCGCTTCGTTCTAGAATAAGTGTTTTTTCGTTTTTCTTTTTCTTTTTCTTTAGCGTGAATTCAAAGAGCACGTGTTTGTTTGGTGGTAGTGGTGGTGATTGTTGCTTTGCAGGTGGGAGGTGGACTTCCACTTGGTTGATTGATTAATGTAAAAAGTGCGGGCATTTTTTTCACAGAAGGAAAAATGAATTAAATAAATAAATAAATAATGAAGGGGAGAGAGAGAGAGAATACACTGGTCTTGTTTGTCATTGAAAACATGGGTTTATTGTCAGAAAATTATATGTGCATATATATTTATGTATGAGATTTCAACCCAGATAATGATTTTGGAGTTCATTCAAAGATAACCATTTTGTGGAATAAATAATCTTTCATGAGGTCAATGTTTGACTCTCTATTGTAATGTTCTTTTTGTAAAAATCAAACAACCTGAGGTTAAGTCAACACAAGAGGAATTAGATTGACACTAATTTGGAAGTGTTTGAAATCATTTTTACGTAGAATTGAAACTCCAACAATACCAGTATGAAAATATGTCATCTTTTGATAGTTTGACATGATTTCAAAGATGCTTATCAACATACAATGGTTGTGTTGAACAGGGGATGTCTGTACATATATTTGTACATGTTTCTTTATCATGATCAAGACTGTAGAGTGGAATTATTGTTCAAAGTTGAGGTTGTTGATTTTCCAATTTCAATATATACATACATAGAAATGAAATGAACATAGGAAATGTTGGTATGTTTCATACATAATAATTAGTCTCCTTTGATGAAAATTTCTTGGTATGAAAAATAACAATAAATATAAATATAAAATCAAGTTACAAAACAGTAGCTTTGGTGTTCATATTCCATGTAAACAAGCACTCCAAATGTTGAGGTAGGGCTGAGAATATATTCAGATAGAACACATTTCCAATAAATGCACCTATTTGCATGATAGTACAAAACAAGATTTTGTGCTCAAAAATCAAAATCTATTCAATGCAAATCCATGTGATTCTACATGGACGATGTTTATAACCTAAGCCAGGGCACATGTAACGTGAAAAGGACAACTACATACTCAAATGCCTCACTCATCCATGAAGGATGCCAGGAACACTCCTTTTATTGGAGCTCTAAAATCACACTCTCCCATTCCAAGAAGGGGGTTATTAAGGGTTTTCCTTCTTTCATTACAATGGAATTTCCTTTAACTTCCACTGATACAATTTTTTTGTTTTGTTTTTGTTTTTTTAAATGATAAAATTCATGAAAATATTTAACCTCATCATCATACTATAACATGATGTTTATGTTCCCTTTTCATATTATTATTATTATTCTTTATAAATATGCAGAACACCCCAAGCAAGTGACATTAGTGTGAATGCATGCATATGTATAATGAATTATTTTTGTGATGAAATCCATTCCAAATAGACTCTCTTGTGTAACATACAAACCATGTTGTATAAATAGTAAAGCTCAAGAAAGAACAGCTGCCATCACTCTTCCCATGCCTGTGACTTGTTTTACTATTTGTCCTTGTATCCTCATAATTCTTACTCCACCACCACTATTTCTTCTTCATCTCCTTATCATTGATCCTAATACAAGGGCTATTCATATTCTTCCCATTATTCTGATTTTCACTTCTTAATATTCCCCTTCTTCTTCCACCACCCTAGTTTGACTCCCCCAGTTTTGAAGAGTAGGTTTACTTAGGGTTGAGTCATTAAAGATCTCATTTGTGGGTCCATAAAGAAGGTGCTTCTGGATGAGGGCCCACGCTGCGTTAGGGAGACGGAGCAGTGTTGGGGTGTATTTGGTGCGGTCATGGGATCTATGCCCATGCCCGCATCCTCACGGGTATAGGAGATTTTAATCCTGCCTCCCCACCAGACCGTGACACGTGCGAAGGCCCTTAGATTACGGGCAGCAAAAGGGTCCGGGCACCCCCCAGCGTGAAAAAGTTATACAGAGAGCCCAAAAGGTTCGCCAGGATTCCAGGACTTTACTTTTTGAAATCAATTGGATGTTTCTCCGTTGGAAGGCATGACAACTCAATTCAAAGGCTTTTAAGACTTCATCCAGCTCTAAAATGGGTTTGTTTCTTAACGTAAAATAGTATATTTTCTATTATATCCTTCAGTATTAGCATTCCTATCTTTGGCTTCCGTTTGACCCTCTTCCTCATTAAAAGAGAGTCACATCATTTTGTTGTGTTCTTCATCTTTATCCTCTCAACACAACACTGGTGTGTATGGGGTCCACTGGTCCACGTCATTCTTCTGTTTCTGGAGCCTTATATTATATATATGTATATCTGTGAATGTATATATAGATATATATATATATATATATATATTCTCTTTTTCTTACTCTTCACCAGCACTCTGTCATATTATCTTGCACTGTAAACATGCATGAAATGTTTCTTCAATTAGGTGTAGAATGTAAGTTCATATTAATAAGAGTTTTGAGAACAATTAGAAGATTTTTTTCTATTTTCTGTTATCTCTCAGTTTATCATTAAGTACACTGTATGATTTTTCAATTTCAGATTTAAGTTCATTTTCCTTCTTTTGGTGGCAACGTGGCTTCAGTGGCTTAAGAACACATGGGCTACAATTATATTATAGAAGTTACCTTTTTGACTTCTACAGATTGAATAGTAGGGAGCAGGAAATTGTCATTAGGTAATATGGATTGTCTTAATAATGCTTGAAAACTTTACATTAGAAGCTAATATATAGAATAAACCTTCAAAGGAGTATTTTACACTTGAGAGCCCACGGCAATACTAACAAGTATTCACCAACAGTACAATTAGCAATGATATGTATTACACATTTTTTTTAAAAAGTAGTACATCACAACAAAGTCATTCTAAGATTACATGAAGGTTAGGCATAAAGTGATATTGGATCAATACAAATCAAAAAAATTAATGTGTTCAATAGAAACTTGTTTCTTACAGTGCCAAAAGGCTATAAACTGAGGCATGAGTAGGAAACATTATGTATTAAATCACCGAAGTATTATTACTGTTATTAAATGTTTGAGCCATACTATTAAAACATAACACAACATATCATTTTGAACTTCAGTATATATATATATAATCACTAAATTAAAAAATTAGGACAAAGAAAACACAAATTGAAGAAATAAATAGAAATAAATTCATATGCAATAAATGATGAAAACAAATGATGAGAAAAGATATTTTTACTTTTTGTTTAAATAATTTCAAAAATAGAAATAACTATAATAAACTTTTATATATATATATATATATATAAAACAAGAGGGACATAAAATAAGAAGAAAAGAAAGATATCCTTATAGAGAAGGGTATAGACCAAATTATTGTGAAGATAGACTGAGGCTGAGGTATGAAGGAAGATGTGAAAGAGACAAGAATGTAAATTCTCCAAGAAGATGTTACATGAATCAAGCATGAGGATGTAGTAATCTTGAGTATTATTATTGTTATTAAAATGGGCCTATGAAAATGGATTGTCAAATATGGCTTAAATATTAAAATGAAGCCAAAGAGACACATAGACATGGAAATCATGTTGTAGCCACAAATGTAGTAATCAAGTAGTAGTAGTGATGAAGAAGATGAAGATAGAAATAGAAAGCAAGCTGAATTTATAAATTTGAAAAAAATAAATTAAAAAACATCCCAAGAATGGAGAATGAAAGAAACACACACAAGAATATAATTAGAGAAGTACATGTGAATCATAGAATTGACTCATTGGTGTGTTTTAGTGCAAGAAATGCACTTATGGAGCTTGAAGTCATTAATTTACTGAATTACTATCGTAATTTTGAGATAAATAGGATGTCAATGCAAGAAAGGATCTCTAATAGTCTCTTTAAGAAAGAATATTAGAATAAATAGTTCTTATTAATTTAGCTAATATAGATTTATGATTTTTTTCATAGTAGTTTTTATCATTAAAAAGTTAATTGGGCTAGGATCTAAATGTAAACCTAATCCAGCCAATTAAAAAAATGAAATAGAAGGAAATAGAGTACAAAAATAAAAGAAAAAAATGAAAAGAAAAGGAAGAAAAAAAAAGAAAAATAGTAGAGAGAAGAAAAGGGAGGAAAAAAAAGAGAAAAAAAGTAGAGAAAAGAAAAGGGACTAGTAAGGAGAAAAAAAAAAAAGAAAAAAAAAAAGAAAAAAAGAAGAAGAAGAGGAAACAAAAGAAAAAGAAAAACAAAGAAAATAAAAAAGAAGAAGAAGAAGGGAAGGGCGAGAGGCTGCCCCCAAACTCCAACAGCCTCTTCACCGATAGGGGTCCATGCCGCCTCGGATCTTTCTTTTCTTCTTTTATTCCAAATTTTTCTGTCTAAGGCTCATGAGCTCCGAACTCCAGAGTTTTCCATGTTTGTATTTCTCTGTTGGAGTGCTGCGATGCAACAATTCCTAGTTGTTTTTGTTTTGTATTCTTGCACGTGGAGCAAAGCTGGTTCCCTGGCATGGTAGGCAACGGCTGTTCGAAATCTTTAGAGTCATTTTCAGTTCCTCTTGCTGGTAGAGTTGCGGCGGCATAGGATGACACCAACGGGTTTCCAAGCATTGATGGAAGATCTATGACTCCAACACTGATTTTTGCATAGTGGAGATTTGTGTGTGCACTAAAGTAGTCACTGTGTAAGGCGACAACGATATTGTGCGAGAAATATACAGCTTCTTGGTTTACGTCTCTTTCCCTCCAAGTGTTGTTTTGTTATTGGTTAGTGATCTGAGCAAAATTGGCGTTGTTAGTGATCTTCAATAGGGTGCTGAAGTATTGTCTAGCCATTCCAGCATTGCTTAATTTTTTTGGTTTCTTTCCAATTCTTGTCTATCATTCAAACGGACACCAAAGTAGTGGGGAGCAACAACAATCTCTCGTTCTTTTTGTGTTGTTCCTCGGCGCGATTGACGAGCAACAGTGGTTATTCAAAGGTAAGTTGTAGAGTGTTGGTTGTGTAGTGCGGTAAGCGGCCGGAAAGCTGCATCATTTAGTTAAGTAAGTGTGTTGCGTTAACTCTGTCATCAATGTCCTTGCGTCGTGGCTTTCTCCAATTTCTAGGAATACGTTGCGGCTACTAACAAGGAGGTGGTGAGCGTAGTGTCATACAGTAATTTTCCTTGGGAGAACCAAGTCCAGTGAACGACGTCCATCCTCTAGCTTCTGATCTTGCGGTGCGAAGAATTTTGCTGAGGATCGTGAGAGCGACAAGATAATTGCCCATGTTGTTGTTTTTTGAGGAGAGCTGTTCAGCAAATCCAAGAACTAAAGTGGCGGCAATCCACTGCTACTTCATCAGATTTTTCTTTGTGTTGTAGGGACGGCCAAGCCTTAATCCACGCTGCTTGAAGTCAAAGTGAAGACTAGCTGCCATTGTCGACCTCTCTACCCAATCAAGAAGATCCAAGCAAGCTCCTAAGAAGACGTCCATGTAAGGAGCCAGCTATTGTGAAACGGAGAGAATTTGGAGGATCTAGGACGGATGAAAGTCTCGATTAGGATAAGGTTGAGAGGAATTAGGTTAGAAGGAAAATTAGGTTTAAATGGATGATTTTTGTATTAGATGGAAATGAATGAATTGGATGAATATTTTAATTAAAGATGAAGTTTGGGCTTGGATGATAATTTATTTATGGATGAAAAGTTATTTCCAAATGATAACTTATACTTGAATGAATTTTTGTCAATGGATGAATCTTAATTAAAAACTAAAATAAAATAAAACAATTTTTTATATTAAATTAAGAATTAAAAAAAGAATTCTTAGGCATAAAATTTGTGAGAGAATTATTATTATAAGTGTGAATTAATGGTAGAAGTTGAGCTAAATTACTTAGATGTTTAAGAAGATTAAAGAGTGAATTGATTATGAAATAAGCAATAGCTATAACTTCTAAAATTCACATAATGAATTCATTTGTTCTAAATTAAAATAAACTTCCAACTAATGGAGGTTTATTTTAGCTCACATTTTGGTGCATTTGTAGAGAGAGTTATCTTATAAGTCTTAGGCTTGATTAAAAGGCAATTATTTTATTATCTTATATTTTTATTTGTTTTTATCTTATGTTAGTACAATCTTTTGGTGTTATTGTGGATTATTATATAGAAACTTAAAGTGAAGATGGAGCTTGAAGAAGTTTAGGATGGAATAAAAAAAGCTTAGATACAAACCTAAGATTATTTTAAGGATTAGAATCAATTAAAATTAGACAAGGATCTTCATCAAAAGTAAAGCTCTTCTCCAAATTTGGTCATTGCTTCCCTTCCTTATCAAGTTCTTCTTGAAGGCATATCTCTTGTGGTTAGAGGAATTTGATCACCTTTTCTACCTCTCATATCTTCTCTTTTCATCTAATTGTGAATTTCTTATCAGAACAATTCTCTAGTAATATAGAAATTTAATCACCTTCTCCATCCATTATATTCTTCCTATTTACATAAGTAATACAAGAAAGAATTCTTCAACAACATCTCAAGAGTACTTTATTATTAATTCAAGAAAATTTTGGAAAAAAATGGAAGGAAAAATAAAAAAGAAGTAGAACTAAAGAATAAAGAATGAGGGAAAAATATTTTAAATTCAATAGAATACATTCCAAGATAAGTTTCTTGAAACAATCAATTAAGCTTTTATATTATTTATTAAATTAATATAAATTATATATTGAAAATCAAAGAGTTAAAAGAAGAAATTTGACATTTAAAAAATAAAAATCAAGTTAGTTTTTTTTTATTTTTTTTATTATTATTTTAATTATTAAAATTATAGCACATACACTTAGAGCAAAGAACAAGGAATTGGAGGATAAAATATAGGAAAAAGAAGAAAAAGAGATAATTATTTATTCTCTCTGCTAGGACTTGGATGTAGTGGGATAAATAAATCCTTCACTTTTGACTCTATTCTTTAGATTTAGCTCATAATTGATTAGAAGAATTGTTTAAAATTTTTATTGTGGTAATTCATTAATAAGTGATAAGGTGGCTAGTGATGCAGCTAGGTAAATCCTCTTTTAAATTGGTTGATGCATGCAAGAAATTCTTTTGTTCAATAAATTTTGTTATTAACCAGGTAGTGGATAATTGCATTAATATAAAAGATAATAAAAAGGGAGAGCTTGGATTCCTTATCAAGAATGGAATATTTTTATACTAGATGTGATTAGGGTCACCCCCATATGAAGTTGTTCCATATAATAGTCTAAGAGAAAGAAAGCCTTGCTTGGAATAATATTCAAGTAAGCATTTTTTATTTAGGTTATTTTTGTTGTGTTTTTATTCAATTTTGGAAGGAGTATTTTAAGTAGAATGCACGTTGATAAGTATAAAATATAAAAAAGAAGTAAATTCCATAATTACCTTATATGGTTTATTTTAATTGTTTTAATTTTTTAAAAAATAATGTTGTAATAATAGGAGTTTAATACATTATTTTATTAAGTTCAATAAATCCAAATTAATATAATCTTTGAAAAATCTAGATCTTTAAGAATTATTAGACCCTCCTTATCAAATCATAGGATTTCAACTTCTAAACTTGATTTAAACATGCTTAGAAACCTATTTAAAAAATTTGAAGACCTTTTTTTAAAAGACCTTGAAGAGAACACATAGAACTTGGTTTCAACCTCTTCGGTAGATAGTATAAGTAATTAGGATCGAAAGAATAATTTTTTATCTCAACCATCAAAGACAATAGATCCAAATAAGGCTAAAAGAACTACCATCTATGCCAATTAATTCCTTAGTTCAACTAAGGGATTTATTAATTTGGATTCTAGAGAGATTTAGTACCAATCTTATCCCTCTTAATCTTTTTATATTTAAAGATACAAAGAATGAGGATCTTTTTGTCTACATAAAATATTTCATAGAAACACTCACAACATATTTAATAATAAATGGTTGTTATCATTTAATAAATTTTTCAACTATATTAAAAGAAAGGACATATGAATGGTATTGAAACTACTTTCTCAACACCTTTTTAAGTTGGAATATGATCCAATGTGCTTTTCTAAAACATTTTTAGCTTGAAGTAGGCCAAAATATGGCTTTAATTGCTTTATCTTTCTTTAAATAGGAAAAGGATGAAGACATTAAATTTTATATTTGACGTTTTGAATTAATAGTAATAAGGTTTATAGGAACCTTATTCACCAACAACACCTTGAAGTATTTTTACATTTAAGAATTTTCTAAAAAAAAAATAATTATAGAAATCTTCCATATATGCTCTCAAGTCCTTATAACAAAAAAAAATACAGCAAAGGGAATAAAACAAAATTTAGTTTTATATCTATATGTGCTAAGATTCTTCATTCATCAATCTTCCAAATGCATGAACAACTACCGTTAGTTTCTACAATCTTAGGAACCTATTTCTTGTCTTTAAATACTAGGCTTCTATCTCTTTCATTGATCTTGATCTATTCTATTGAGAATAATAAGTGAAAGAAAGATTTACAAAAAGAGATGAAGGTATGTGAATTAAAATTCCAAAACCAAATCTTTCATAAAACAAAATTTCTAATAAAACAATTACTTGGATTGGCTAAAAATTCCTACTCCAAACCTTCTTCCACCTTCTTTTGAATCAAGGAGATATATAACAAGACTATGATATATTTAATATAATATGAAATTTGTATCTTAGTCCATAGGAGAATTAAAAGAAATTCAAAATTTTGTACAACTTAGTATCAATCAAGTCTTTCTTTGAGAATTGAATTTAATAATTTTAAAAAAAATCAATCAAAGAAAAAAAAACTTACTTATAGAACTAGCTTTTGCAATGATGACTAAATCTAGAGTTTCATATTTATTTATCTATCAAAAAGAAGAGAATAGTACCTCAAATAGTCTATTTTGCTTCTTAAATTTTGAATGAGTTATGAAGGATATAATTAAGGCAATACAAAATAATATTGTAAAATTTATAAGGTTTGATGTTTTAGTAAAAAAACTATTATTTTAGAATCTTAGAGTTGAACATGAGTCAAATTTTAATTTGGACAATCATATTTGGAAAGATTTCAAATTTTCCATGTTTCAAATTCCTCAATAATAAAAGGATATAGAAGAATCCAACATACAAGAGTGTAACTTATTACCTTTTATTATAAAGATGGAAAATCAAAGCCCATCTATTTTAGTAGACTAAATAGAAAATCATAAAATTTAGATTTGAAGACAAGAATATATCTTGATATATCATGTCATTTAGATATATATGTCAAAGGATTATTTTTCCTTATTACTAGATAGGCCATAGTTGAGAGATTTCGAAGCCATAGTTAATTAGAGAAGAGACTAAACTTACATCACCTTTGATCCTTAGAAGAATAGAGCTAAAATCTCTATACAATCTATCTTTAACTATAAAAATATTAATCTCATTGATTCTTTATAAAATATCTAATAATTTAAAATATAAGATAAATTAACAAAAATAGTCAATTCAATTAACTAAGATTCAAAGAAAATAGAATGCTTAGGTTCCAACCTTTATCATTGAAAGAATGACAAAGAATTCAAATAGTGATTAAGAAATCATTCAAACTCCAATTTTTCTTATTACAAATCAATTAATTTTTTGGATAGAATTTTAGAGATTGTAAAAAAAAAAGAATTACAAGTCTTTAATATTAATATAAATGTGAAATTAGAAGAAGAAATTAAAGTCATTAAAAGAGATGATGACTTAATTCTACCTCTTAGATTTCAAAATACTTCATCAAAAATTTCAATTGATAATAGAATTATCAACTATCTTCTATTATCTAATAATTGATATAGAAACTCTTCAAAATAATGACTAGTACAAGGATCCAAATAAAAAATCATAGAAGTATTTTATAAAAGATAAGGGCTCAAAAATATTAAAATTAGAGCTCATTTAAATAAAAAAGAAGTATTTAGATATTGTGATTTGATCATCAAATATTGAGATATTTTAGTATGGTCATACAAAGACTTGAAAGATATACATCTTGAAGTAGTTCAATACCATATTTTTCTTATTCTTGATGCCAAAGAAATTAGACAAAAAGAATTACATATAGACCTCCAATTCCAATTGATTATTAAAAGAGAGAGAAAAATTATTACAAGCCAATTTTATTAAACTAGTAGAAATAAAATATTGGATCTTTTCTATAGTCCTTGTGAAGAAGAAAAATGATAAATTAAAAATGTACATAGATTATAAAAAATTCTCAAGCATACTCAAAAGGATAATTTTTTTTCCATTAATAGTGTTTTAGATGAAGTGGTAAGTTATGAAACTTATATGTTTATAGATGGTTATTTGGATTATAATCAAATTACGATAGCCTTTAAAGATTGCTAAAAAAATAACTTTTACCACTCCTTGATGTATCTTTATTTTTTTGGTCATACTTTTTTGACTTTATAATGATGCTTTTGCCTTCTAAAGGCCATGGCCTTTGTCTTTTTTAATTTGATATATATATATCTATAAAAAAATTTATAGATAGTTTTAGCACCTAATTCGATGTCAAGGACTATCTAGGATATATAGAAAAGACCTTAAAAAGCTGTAGAAAAATAAGAATTTCTTTAAATCTCAACAAAATATATTTGGTAGTACAAAAAGAAAT